TAATATTTAAAAGCACAAAGTGACGTAAATATGGAAATGTTTAACTTTTGACTAGTTAAGTTGGGGTCACATGTTTGCAAATAGTTTAGAATGATATAAGCATTTTTACACCCAAGAAAACGTCGAAAGACCTCTATTCATACGGTAAGAGTCTAACGAATCCAGCATTTATGATAATTTACTATGAACTAGTCATGTTTATTACCTCGTTGACAAGCTAACTAGGCCAAATTGTAACTAGGCTAGCTTCGCATTTTTTTAAAACTAGATCAGATTTAAATCAGACAAATTTTCAAAACAAACTCTTTGGCAAATTTATTCCCAAAAAACAACTCATTTCTCTCTTATTTGTAAAAACCGATCTGGTTTCAGCCTCAGCGCTGAAACCAGGTCGGTTTTTACAAAAATATTTCCGAAACTTCACGGGAGTTCAACTCCCGTGAAGTTTAACAGCTTAATTAAAAACTGCTAAACTTCACGGGAGTTCAACTCCCGTGAAGTTTCAGTATTTTTTTTTGTAAAAACCGATCTGGTTTCAACGCTGAGGCTGAAACCAGGTCGGTTTTTACAAATAAAAATTAATGGGGTCGTTTTTTGGGAATAAAATTGCAAAAGGGATTGTTTTGAAAATTTGTCCGATTTAAATCTGGTCTGATTTTAAAGTGTTGTTTTAAATAGCAAAAAGTGAGTTATTTCAGACCCAGTTTATTTAAGTTCAAATTGCCTGCCTGTAAACTGGCTCTATTGTGCATTGAGAGAGAGAGAGAGAGAGAGAGAGAGAGAGAGATGGTCCGCATGCCAGAACCATTTTAAGAAGTAAAGCTGACCTAGCCTAGTTGAATTGCCAAACACACCCTTGACGTTTAACGTATATTTTATGAATGATTAACTTTCTTGATTGAATTGCTGTATACAATTGTCTTGATTTATAGTCATGAATTACTATTAATTTGTAAGGCAACAAATTTACACGTAATAATAGTAAGATATTTACAGCATTGATGGTAAGAAATTAGTAAAACTATGGTACGTGATTTGCAATCTTTAGGTAACAAATTACTATAATCATGGTAGGCAATTTCTAGCTAATTAAATTGTTATCTTT